ATATGCGTTTGTATGTAATGTATGAATATAATATACAAGTTTCACTTTTTAAATGGAATTACTGAAATAAATCTACTTTTTCATGATATTCTAATTTTATGACCAGCACCTGTATATTCAGGGGTGCTGGAGAGTAGATGGTTGAACCTTAAATTCAGGAGGGCCAATTCTGGCTGTGAACACTGGAACAACTCTTTACCCTCGCTATGATCCTCAAGCAGGCATGAAAGTTTGCCCAACCAGTCTACATGTATTTTGTAGATTTGAAGAAGCCATTCGACCACTGGAAAGATTATGTCTCAGATAGTCTGGGAACGCCTCGGAATCCTCCTGGAAGCATTTGAAAAGGTGGTTGRGMAAAGAGATGCCCAGGACACTCTYCTCAAATTTCTGCCCCCCCGTAATCTGACTGTGAAACAAGTGGAAAACCATACCACAATGGACAAAGCAYCAATGCAATAAATAGAACAAAGCTTGATATATACCTGCTGAAAAGGAAGTGACAAGATGTGAAGTACACTCACACTCACACATGTTGTGGCGAAGACTACATCTGCCACAGATCTGAAGGGCTCAGATCTTCCAGGAAGTAAAGGAAGACAAACTCACTTGCTCGAGAGAGCATTTGCTCAAAGGCGTATGGGATGTCACGGACGTCAGGCCTCTCTGGGTTCCACAGCTCCTCTCCATCATGATCGACACTAGCAGAACCAGCATGGCTCCACCGCCTGTGCCTTCGCGGCTCGAGAAGCCCCGGCCAATGCTCATCCCAGCTTCCTATTTTCCATCACCGGGCTACAGCAAGCCCCAAATTCGCTTTTTGGTGTGTGTAGTGTCACTGCATCTAGCGCTGTCCATTGGAGGATTCATTTTTCTGTACTACAAAGAAGAAGTAAGTTCATTTTTAAGAGTTTGGAGCACAGGATTTTTTTGAAGCTACTGTTTTATACATTAGTGTTAAATTGAAACAATGTGTTTAAATGTTGCTAAATAAATGACTACATAAAATCTGTAGAAGTACTCAAATCTTACTTATGGAATATGAATTCACTGTCATTTAAGTAATGCAAAAGAGCTTTTTCATTTCTGCATTCTTAAATAATAAAATCAATGTCAAAATTAAAAATGAAATAATAAAGTTGTACAAATTTACACCTTTGTAATAAAATCTATATAACATACTGCATTTCTGAAGTTATTTTTCTTCATCTTTACAGAAAAAGTTGCCCTCATTTCAAGGAAGAGGTAATTTGTCTGAATTAATCTACATTCGATTTACTACAGAAATAAGATGACCTCGTCCGCATTTCTGACTTATTTTCTTGTGTTTTGTTTCCAGTTGGTTACCGCTCGGCAGAAAACCAAGCAACGACCTACAAAGCCTGGGCACGCATGGTAGTCGCGCCCCTTTCAAGTTCACAATCAAGTAAGACATTAAACTTATTTCTTTAAATATTATTACTAATAAAAATAAGTTCCGATTGGTTTACATGACTGCTCGAACTCCTTCCTCAGCCTCTACAGGTGGTTATCTCCAGTGGGACATAACCCACTCWGCTCGAAAGCAAGTCAGCCACTCTCACAGCACCTGGCTGACCATCCTGGAGCCCGGCGATTACTTCGTCTACACCAGGGTAACCTTCTCCAAAGACCACCCAAAGCTCGCACTGGCCAGCAGGGTCAAGATGAGGAAGGGGGAAACCGCAGAGGACAAGGATGTGATGAAGGCCTACTGCAGCCTGAGCGGGGACACGTCAAGCCCTCAGATGTGCACGGCCACGCAACAGGATGTGATCACGCTGGAGAAGGGAAACCAGCTCAGCGTCTGGGTGCAGGACCTCTCACTTGTGGACTACGAAGAAGGCGCAACGACCTTTGGGATTTACAAACTATAGGACTCCTATGGGAGCAATGTGCACAGACCCAAACTCAAAGACAGGAAACTCTGATTCAAAGAGGACAGGCCTGGATTTATAAGATAAACTGAGATCTCAGTGGTACTGAGACAAAAAAAAAAAGCACATTTCAAACTATAACTTATTGAATAACAAATGTGTATTTCTATGTTTTGTGAATGTTTGTTTGGTATTTATTATGGTAAAACATGTAGATTGAATGAAATGTTATTTTAAYTTTAGATTTTAAAGTTTTTTCCTAAACATTTTTTTATTAAGCCTAAAAGAGGTGAAAATACCCAAATTCATTCATTGTTAATGTTAATTAAAGCCAGTTGATCTGCTATTTTTTTCCTTTATGATCATTTTCTACACAAACCTTTCCCCTTCCCTTGCATTTTAGCTCAACCACCATGGAGTTATYTTTCTAGAATATAAAAAAGAAGTGAAATTATATGATTTTTAATGCTAAAAAAATTATCTGGATACTAAAAACCACACATTTGATTTTGAAAGTTTTCTCTCATTAACCAGCCATATGAGAAATCCATTACTTTCATTTTTTCATGTTTTATTTTTGAAGGAAAACTGTACTTATATTTATATTTTGGACATCGATCCAGTTCTGAACAACGATTTAGTCAGTTCAACTCAAAACAGATTTGTGAAACAATTTAAAGCCCAGCAAAGAGGACAATTCACTTTTAAATTCATAATAAGCTAAATGTTCATTACATTATAGTTTAGGGATGAGAAACTTGGGGTTTAACAGCTCTACTCGAGGAGCAGTTGAACCTAAACCTTATGTCAGTGCCTCAAACACACACTTGACATGGAAAGTGTGAATCTCTCTGGAGGTGTGTGTGTGTGTGTGTGCAGAGGCAGAGCACTCTCACAGGATGTCGCAGACTCTTTGTCACTCCTTCCACCGTGCACAGAGTTTCCTGATCGCGATCATGAGCAACGTGCTGAAAGCGGCGTGGAAAAGGCCTGCCTTTGAGGATTTCCAGAAAGATTGCAGCAGGGTTTTMTGTTTCCGTTTCACGTGGGTTTAAAACTAATTGAACTGAACCGTACTTATTATATTAAACTTTTAATAAAAGAACAATCAAACCAAACATAAAGGTACAGGGTYTGTAGGGGAGAATACAATACTTGCAACAATAATTGCATAGAACAGTCCTTAAAAAACAAAACAAAAAACAAAACAGTGCAGTGGAATTTGAATTACAGATGAACTGGAGTTCAACCTTTTCTCACCAGTTAAGTGCTCACAGAGGTTGTAGGAAATTTCAAATTACAGTGTGTGGTGCTTGCTGAAGTCTTCACAGGGCGGGGGAAACAGCCACAGTATTAATTTAAGCAATAAAAAGTGATGAATGGAGGGGAAAAAAAGGGTTCGAGGACTGGACAATTTCCAACAATTTRAACAGTAAGAGTCTTTAAAAGCACAAAAGTGACACCTCTGCAGATGAACCAGCTGCCTCATACGCTGCACAGAGCGCTAAGGTTTCTGTGAAGCTGTGTGCAAAAACAGAACTACCCACAGAGGTGCAGTTTCAAATATAATTTTAGACCATTTATGTGATGGGAGGAAAAAAAAGAAACTAGGTCAGCTGGTTTTTAACCAAGAATGTGAATTAAAAAACAAACAAACAAATCAGACAAACTGAACAATAAAGTTTGTTTGTTTTTGGGTAATTAATTTGATTCATTATTGCAAGACCTCCAGGTCTGACAGACTACTGCGGGGGTTAACCCAGAGGTCAGTCCGTAGAGCAGTCGCTTATTGCATTTCACCAGCAGTCACTGCTTCTGTGCAGTGCAGCAAAACAAAACAAAAAAGCARAGACAGCGCACGCCGCCATCAACATGGTGAGGAAATGTACAGCCGTGGGTACTCGCCACACGTTAAATAGAAAACAGAGCGCTATTTGTTTTCACACTCAAAACATGTACACCCACAGTACTTAGTCATTAGTCGTCTGAACTAACTTAGTACAGAGAGCCACGTATGACACTTTTGAATATATATTTATATATAAACTTTTTCTTTTACAGATTTAGTCCCACTCTGTTTTGGGTTTCTGGACCCCTTTGGGAGGCACTTGAACTTTTGACATTTTCCACACTAACACACAAACTTACTTTTCTCTGCTTCTGCAGTAACTCGACCAGGACAACACAAAACCATCTCAACTCTCATCACAGACATTACTTAAAGCCATAATTCAGACTTTAAATATGGGTTCTGTGAAAATGTTATGAACTATTAATAACGTGTTTTGTTGTAGAGAACTCTTTGAACAACCTCACTGTGGAGAAGRAGTTTTTTTCTCTTGGTTATTGTTAAAGTGTTATTATTGGAAGTCCCTTTTTAATGTTTTACTCTGTCAGACTTGAGGTCCGTGGGCCATATCTGGTCCTCACTAGCATTTTATTTGGCCTTGAAGGTGATAATTTAAATGTAATTAAATAGGATTTTTAATATACATTAAAAATAAATTTTTAAGCCATGAAAATGAAGTTTGAATTTTTCAGTAATCGTCAGTAAGTAATTTAATTATATTTTTCTGTATTCTGTTCTTATTTGAAGTCTAAATAGTTGGATATTTAGTGAGTTTTTTTTACCTGAATTGCTGGATTGTGATAAAATGTATCTCTATAATAAATAAAATAGCTGTTGGTAGAGTGTAGGACAAGAAATGAATGCTAACGATGCCTTCTTAAATTTAATCTTTTACTTTATCTGTTAGGTTATGTATGCTCTAAATACTACAATTTGGTAAATATAATTTGATTTGTAAAGGAGTCATTTGTTTGATAAATATTGACAGAAACCTAATCTTGGCTTGGACCAAGGTTTGAATTTTGGCCCCCTTGTGTAACTGAATTTGAGCCCTCCGTTTTTACTCTTTACTGTACTTTAAACAGTAAAACATCTTGTGTCTCTGTCATTTTTAATTTAAAACTACTTTTTCTGTCTCTGTGTCCACATAAACAAGCAGACGCAAAACACAAGTGAAGGTGATGTTCAATCAATCATCACCTGGTTTAACCACTCAACCATCATGGGTTTGATGGTTTGTCACTGATTAAAAGGCAGCAGAACAACACAATCAAGAATCAAGACAGAAATTTGTTTCAGATTGTCAGTATTTTGATCTAGGTCATGCACGTGCTGAACAGTAAAGAGTGGACACCGACTCTGCGCAGGATGCGGTCTGTTCATTTAATCACCATGGAAATGTGGTCTACGAATCACAGAAACGAGTCTGATGTTCATCAGTGTCTAAATAATGGTTCTGTCTGCAGCTTCTTAGGACCATGACCTGCTAAAAAATGAGTCTGACAAACTTTTGTTTTTGTTTTGTTTGTTTAAAGAGCAACTATGACGAGTAAGATATTGACTGTTCATAAGTTCTCCACAGAACCCTACATCAAAGGTTTAATTTATTGCTTTAGCATTTGTTTCCTCTTTCAAAATAAAAGAAAAAGGTTTTTGTTTCCTTTGCAAATTACATCTAAGGCTCTAAATGCTTGGGCTAACAATAAATACAGATTATATTTTATGAATCCAAAATAAAAAAGGCTACATATTTTTTTATTATGTTAAAACGACTCTTGAATATAGATATAGTTTAGTGATAAGATTAAGAGTTTGCATCACCTATGATGCCAATAACTCTATGGTACAGAGTTACTTTAAGTATTTCCTATTTCATAAAGCAGATACATCCCTGATAGGTTTGGACTCCATATTTGAATATATTGATTATCACATTTCTGATGCAGAATCCATGATGTAGAAACACTGTACATTCATGCAGTTTTTAAATAAACAGTAATAGAGGTGGACTGGAGACTAATACAAGGAGCTTTTAAAAATAGCCTTGACAATGTATGATGTAAAAGTAAAAAAAAAAAAAAGGAAACATAAAAAAATCCACATGATCAGATTTTTCCCTGTAAGGAAGCCCTATCACCAAAAAATGACAGTGAAAAAGTCATGAGTCAGAGATCATCATCAGTCCTGTTTTAAAGAGAAGTGTGTGCAAGAAAAAAACCCTGCTCAGCTCGATGGCTTTGTACTCCTTTTCTTTTTCCAGCTGAAGCTGAAAGCCGCCATGATGGGGCTTTTCTTTTTACATCTTTGTCCAAAATTGTTCCACTTGCTTGGGGAGACTTTACAGTCCCAATCGCCATGTGGCGGTTTACTAGAAACATTGTGAGCTGTTAGGGAGGAAGCACCTTTTCTCCTTTTTTTGGGGGTCTCGTTTAGCAAAACTGGATCAGGAAGACAGTTAGGATCTCATGAAAACGTCCCATCGAGCTCCGAGATTCAAAAGTCTACGTGACGCTGAAATGTGAAGACATGACGCAGATGCACAAAAACAAAAACAAAGATTCAAATAAACCACACAAACACTTTTCCCCGACGGAGGTCTGCTCACATGAAGAGACCCACACCAGAGAGGTCACGAAACGACGACGAGGATGGACTGGGTACGTGTTCAGTGGCCGCTGTCCTCCCAGGAGCAGTCGTTCTTCTGCTTGGTCAGTTTCCGAACTAGCCTCTCCAGCTCTTTGCGAGACTTCTGCTCCTCCTCCAGAAACTGCTTCATCCACTTGTTCTCCTGGAAGAGAATTAAACTTCTATTAAGCTACAGATGCTGTCGAAGAGCTTGCATGAAGGCTCAGATCATTTGAAGCTAAAATATTACAATTTTCTTCTTCTGGGTTTTTTTTTTTGGCTCAGAAATTTAACTAAAACAGTAAACAGAACAGCTTTAAAAACATGTCTAGTTAAAGCCTCTCATTGCACTTAATGTAAGCTAAAAGCATCTACAGAGATAAATTTAGGTGAGATAAKGCAAACTTGTTTTAAGAAAAAGCATTTTTGACAATCTTGATAAGTAAAATAGTCTTAAAGATTTGAGTCATTTCTATTTATACATGTCTAACACATGGTGTGAAAGTAKAGTTAGATGAGCATTACATTTACAAACAGTATATTGAAAAAAATTCATGAYTAATTAAYCATGAATAAAGAATGAGTATGTTGGTTTTGGAAGTAGTTGGTCTTTATGGGAAAGCATTAATWAATGWGTTAATTTATAGCTTAATAAGCATGAATCATCTTTAATTGATGTTTTCTGCATTAAGTAACCATTTATTAATGATTAGGTAAGGCTAAATAAAGTGTAGTTATAGTTACCAACAAATCTACTTTATTGATCACTGCAAAGGTTTTATTTTATTTTATTAAGAGTTAAATGACTAAACGACTGTAAAAAGAAGCATAGCAGAATTGGTTGTTGCATTGGATGCTGAATGCAATAAGAGTGTTTAAGTGTAAGAACAGCTTTCATTTTTAATCTTATAATAAATGCTGAAATGTTTTGAATTTAGGGCAATACATCTGTGTAATGTTTGTTAAATGTGATAACAGGTTGGGGAAAACTTATATAGCTGTGAAAACACTTAATGTTAGTCAGGAAGGCTTACTTCAAGATAATTCGCCTTAAAATATAATTTTCTAATCTTGTTTTAAGTTGAACCTGGATCCAATCTTGTCCAGTTAATCTTCATTTGTTCCATTGGTAGATTGTTTTATGCATTTTAAGCTAAAAGAAAAAAAAACTCATTTAAATACTTTTAGAGTTGCCTTTTTTTCCAGTGTACTGTTTCTGTTTTAGAGTTTTCTATAGTTAAATGTTTCTGTCAGTTGCTGTACAGGTCTGWCTGGGAGTCGATGTAAGAGACTGAAAGGAGGGTGGTGGGTGGGGGACAGGGCAGAATGTGGAGCAAAATGTTTTGATTCAGAACTTCTTCTGTGGTCATTTGTGAGAAAAAAAAACATTTTCCACAATCATTCTGATTTAGGCTTTTTAAAATAACAGGACCAAAAGCCCTTATATGATATTTTCCCTTAAAAATTGACATAATGTACCACGTATGCCTCATGAGGCATACGTGGTACATTAAGTCCATTTTTCAGCTACCACTACAACTTTTATTTATAAAGCACTTTAAACAGCACAAGGCCAACCAAAGTGCTGTACAATAGACAGAAACAACAGGACATAGTTTAAATTTCAGTCAAAATACAAATCAAAATACGGAGCATTTACAGTATATATAGAACAGAGTTATGATACAGAGTGAGGTTTTGCACCATCTCACTCAGACTCAAAGGCAAGGGAGTAGTACTGTAGTGTGTTTTTAAACAAGACTTGAAGATTGAGAGTAGGGCTGGGTTTAAAAAAAATCGATTTAATCGATCTGGATCGATTCTCGTTCAAATTTGGGAAGTTCGATTCATAAGTCACGAGATCGATTTTTTCCCCACAGGTGTTGTGTGCYATGAAGCTGCGCGTTTCCGTGTTGTGTGTCACTACTGGCTTGCCGTAGGTTTAGGTCAGTGCTAATGTTAGCTCCCGACAACAAGTTGTCTGGGGCAAAACAAAAGAAACAAAGAATCACTAACACTTAAAGACAACAGAGGCCATGACAACTTTTGTTTGTGAAGATTTGCACTCGGACGCGGTAGCGAGAAACGAAGCTTTGAACGGCTGGTTCCCGTGGTCGGACCAAAACTACGGTATGTAAATATCTGACTGAAACTGTTCTCCTCAGCATGTATAAATGTGTGAAAGATGTTAGTCTAACAAAATCCTTTAGTTTTATTACCAATTTTATTTATAAATTTTAGAAACATCTTAATGTAATTCACAGTGGTGGAATGTTTTAGCTGAAGTACTTTTATTTTCCTTCTTCTTGTTAATAAGTTTTATTGAACAGAAGCGTTACAAATAAACAATTATCATACACTCAAAAGAGTAGGCAGAAGTAAACACTTATATTAACCCACCTCTTCTCCTGCAACCTTATTCCATCACTTCTTCATGATCAAGAAAATTATTCTTATTTTCTTAAAAAAAAAACTGATGTATCCAACAACACTTTCTCTTGCAATTCGTTTTTAGTTTAAACRCTTTGAAACTTGAGATAGTTTTGTTCCAAGATTAAACTCCAATTTACAAGTTTGCCCTTAATGTTTATAATTTTACCAATGCACCAAGTTAGAATTAGTTTCTACTATTTACAGAATTAGTTCCTTTGAGAATGTCTTACATATCAAAATTAATGTGTTCCTGCATATCCTTAATTTAAAAATCAATCACACTGAATTGTGAATCGCCCTGAATTGTTATGAATCGTTGTGAATCGTGAATCAAATCGAATCGATTTGGGAAATTTGAATCGATACCCAGCCCTAAGTGAGAGGGAAGGAGACAGTCTGACATGTAGTGGTAGATCATTCCACAGTTTTGGACCTGCTACAGAAAAGYCTAAACAGTTAAACTTAATAACAAATTATACTTTGTATAACTGGCACAGGCATCATGATGGCTCCTGTTGGTTTCAGCATCATCATAATTACGATCAATGCCTGATTTCAGGAAAGCAGAGGTCTGATTTGGCCTAATTTCAAAGTGCACCAGCAGACCACACAACCTAGCGTGATACAGCTAGTTCTCAATAGCATCACAGGGATGGGAAGTTTCCACCACAGTGGTTCGAATGGATCTTTATTTCTGCTGTCTAAGCACCTATTCCAGGCCTGAGAAAACTGTGCTAAAYACGCTGTAATTCTTTGCGGGGGGCAACTACACCGCTTGCATCAAGTGACGTAACGGTGCCGGTTAGAGCACCGTTCTTCAGCACAGAGCATATTTCAAAGTTCTGATACAGTTTCATAATTAGTCCACTTGTTTTAATATTGTTATTTTTACCCAATATATTTCAGAGAACTGCAGTTTTTGTAGCTTCCATGAACATTTTAAACCGAGCTAGTTGACACTTTTATTATGAGCTATTAACTAATAACCATTCGATTACTTTTAGCTACAGGCAACCACGATGAAGGATAAATTAGAAATTCAGGTCTATAAAATGATACAAACTGATGAGTGATTAAAAAACTATTTAAAAAAAGGACAAGTGAAACATGCAATATGTGAAACAAAAAAAAATAACTCAACAGTTTTGAATAATGATTAATAGAGGAAGTGGAGCAGCTGCTTCTCTGTTTTAGAAAGTGGTGCTGAACACCTAACTCAGAGGTGTCTAATCCTGGTC